GTATTGATTACTGTTTAAGCAGTTGCTGAGCTTTGTCTGTAGGCTTTCCACCTACCGTAATATAACCGATGTTATACACATTCCTTCAGTGCAGGATTAAACTGATTGGACCACTTCAGCTTGGATCCCCCAGGAAGCCAATCTCAGAGGCAGTAACAGGAGCTCCAGAGACAACAATTGCAATTTCAAAGATACACTACACACAGTAATTATACTGGGATTATTAATTAAACTGTTTACTTGCTGAGGTCTTACCAAATTATACGCTACAACAGGCATGAACATGCTCTTCTGAGAGCCTAAGCCAACAAGAGCCATTTAACTGCAACTAGAATATTGGCTAATAAGCCTTGTCCTGAATCATGGTATATTATTTTAGGAATGATGCCACACTAAAGTGGCATGGATTGTATTGGTTGAGAGTGCAAAAGACCAAAATTATTTGCTAGCTAAAACCTATGAAAACATTGCCACAATTTTGGCAGAGTTTAGGTTGCTCAGGTAGTTCAGTTGTGTATTTCTAAATTGAATATTTTATACATGAAAAGCCAGATCCCCAGGCAAGAACAAGATGAATTACTGTGTTTTCATACAGACATTATGGTATCTGCTCTGTAATAATTTGTAATTAAACTCAAGAAATCTGAGTTTCATTGCTTTTTAGCTATCATTAAACATAATGCTGGAAACTGGGGAAAAGTGAGATTGCAAATAGGTTTAACTGCTCTTTCTCCCTCTTTGGAAATAATTGAGATCCCCACAAAATTACAAAAAAATGCTACTTTGCTAGAATTGTATGTTTTAAGACGGATTTGCCATTAATGGATAATAAAGAATCAAAGAATCACCGAACAGGTCAGGTTGGAAGACACCACAGTGCATTATCTGGTCCAACCTCCCTGCTCAAGCAGGATCATCCTAGAGCACATGGCACAGGATTGTGTCCAGATGGTTTTTGAATATCTCCAGTGAGGAAGACTATACCACCGCTCTGGACAATATTCAGATGGAACTTCCTAGTTTCTGCCCATTGCCTCTTGTCTTATTGCTTATACCAAGAAGAGCCTGGCTCCATCCTCTGACACTGTCCCTTTAGATATTTATACACATTGCTGAGGTCTGCTCTCACTTGTCTCTTCTGAAGTCTGAAAAGGCCCAGCTTCCTCAGCCTTTCCTCATATGAGGGATGCTCCAGTTCTTAAATCATCCATATTATCTTCTGCTGGGCCTGCTTCAGGAGCTCCATGTCTCTCTTGTACTGAGGAGCCCAGAACTGGACACAGCACTCCATATACATCCTATTCTCAGAGACATTATCATGACAGTTAAAAGGTTTCTTTGGAGGATAATATCATTGATGTGGAGCCATCTCATATGTAGGTGCAAGGAACTGAGATGCTGGAGGATGCAGAACTGAAAAATCAGGTTCTATGGGGAGTCTCTCACTCTGTACTTACAAATAAATGGGTACCAGTACAAACTAAGATGTTCAGACAGTGATTTTATTTTTAAAGAGTGTCTTGGACTAAAACATTTATTGTGTTTAGTAAGTGAAACAGAAAGTAATAGTATAATAGTAAGGCAGTCCCAGCTCACATTATGAGCTAGGATTGACTTCTAAAGTAAAGGAAAATAATGTGTTTGAAAAAACAAGGCAAGTAAAATTTTGGAAGAATCTGATTCTTCATCTGCAATTCAGTTACAGACTGTAATTTTGGCCTGTCCTGTACCTTTGTAAGGCCACCGAAAAGAGGAGCAGAGAGAGAGAGAGTTTTAGAATAACCAATACTATTTGGCAAAACATTTAGTAGATGCTGTCATATTTTCCTGCATGTGCCAAAAATAAAGGGACATTCTCCTTGGCCCCCCAAAATAATAATGTTTTGTAATCTGAAAAAAAGTTTTCAATCCCCAAAGCTAAGAAGGCAAAAACTGGTATAATGACAGTCAACACCTACAATAAAGCTACAGACTTCAGAACTTCCCCAAGAGCCCCAAAACCTGTTTTTCCAAATGTAAGTCTTCTAGAAAACAGATGATTTGAAACTCTATTTTTCAAGATGTTATATATCTAACATAGCAGCAGTGTATAATGCACAGAGCAACAACAGTGACTTCAGGTACTGAAGTCTGGGGTGAGATATAAAAACATTCATTCTAGTCCAAAAGGAAAACTACCTCAGTAGCATAATATCATTAGAGAAATTATGTGGTGTCATTTATACTTAATCAAATTATATTTTAGTATCAGCCAAGAACTAAGCTGTCACATATAATAGAAACCTGGATGTAGTGAGCCTGTAATATTTAAAACTGATGCTAGAGAAAAAAGGGAATTGCATAAACTATGACAAACAGAATAATCAATATGGTACAGTATCTGAAGTATTTTCCCATTCAGAAAAAATGTACTTTATATCTAGAAGGGAAAAACAACAGTAATAGCCTATAATGCAGGCCTGAAAATTTGGTGGACACAAACTGAGGCAACATTCATCCCAGCATCCTGCAAAAATTAAGAGAAGCAGTGCTATGAACCTGCTAATTTGTGTAAGAATACCTAAAGTGTTAACACTAGAACTAGCACCCCTACTAAATCAAAGAGATCCCATAAACACCTTTAGCAAAAGTGATGTCTGTGCCTGAGGGGGAATCTATAGATCCAAGTCACTGAGACATCATATATCTGATACATTAAAAGTATCTGATACATTTTATGGAGCGCTTTGCTTTCAAAAAGAGCTTGCCTTAACTGCATGTAATATGTCATACTATTTGTACTTAGCAGAGCTTGAAACTCTACTAAATCAGCACAGAATCACTAATAGAGCTGTGTCCATAATAATCCCCATAAACTGCTGGTAAATGTGGTTTCTCACCTTGTAGCTTTCCTGCAACTAACAGCAGTGTTGTGCCTCATAAAAATATGCTTTTTAAAATCCCATTGTGCTACTATAGGGCTTTGATATGCTCTTTCTTGTAATATAAGAAACTAAAATAGTTTTTTCTTGTTTTGTGTTCATCTTCCGTGACAGCTGGGGAAATGCCCTCATGTTTTTTCCTCCTGAGACATGACTATTCCCAGAATGGGAACTTCTTTATTAAGAAATATTATTTTACTTCCCTCTTAACAGTTGTCTTCTCAGTTTTTTCCCTTCTGTGTGGCTCTTTTATGAGATGCAACCAACTGTGAAAAAAGGGCTGCCATCAACATAGTTCTGGCACTTCTATCTATATCTTGGTATAACAAAAATGGAAAACAAGCCAGTGAAAGAATCATAACCAAATGCTTCTTTCAGAGCTGAAGGATCTGAACTAATAAGAATCAAAGTACATGTTCAAACCATATAGATTTGACAGACTTAACTGTCCCCAGTATGCTGCTTCTGTGTCAGTAGGAAACAGACTATTACCCAATGTGCCAAAATGTATTCGAGAAGAAAAGAGTGCATTGGATGAAGCAGCACTTGTGAAGGTGAGTTCAGCAGCACAGAAGTACTGAGCTCAGCTTAGCAAAGGTTGAAAGTAAAGGCTGTGTTCTGACATCTATTCAGTCTTCTTGGCAACGTGCTTCATGGGGTGACAACTGTGAAAAAAGGGGTGCCATCAGTATTGTTCTGGCTAGTCAGAAGGAGTCAGATGTGGGGCTGTTCATCCTTGTAGAGAGCAGCTGTGTTTTGGGTTATAACTCCTTGCTGAGCAGCGGAGAGAAAGGTTGCAGCCTTGAAATGTGTGAAGGAACAGTTTGTCTAAAATGTACCTTGTTTTTTATGGATGTGATGTATTGGAAGCATTTTCCTTATTCCCTATGGAAATGGTGGACTACCAGCTGCAGTACATAATTAATATTAGACTGAATCTCAAATGAGGTCATAATAATAAGTATCATAAACATCTTAAAGTGCACTTGATGGTCTCCTATGACATCTGTAGTTTCAACATCTGTAGTATTTGTGGCAGCCATCACTTTGTGGAACAGGAAAAGATTAATATTTTTGCTAATAAAAAATGGTTTCAATTTTCTCAGTTTCTATCTTTTCTTTTCTCCATGGCTACATTAATTCTCCTAATCTTTTTGAAATAATCTGCTATTGAGATCCTTTTTGCTAAGGCCCAGTTTTCTCCTAAGAAAATCTTACGGAGGGAGAGGGGGTAAAAGACCATGATACAAGGCAGACACTGTTTTGCAGTAGGATTTCTTAGATTTTGGCATAAAAATTTCTCTGCAGTAAGTGTATGTTTTTCATCAGACCTTGCTTTACCATGTGGCCTAATCTTCTTGATATTTTGCCCAACATATTATGAGCTCAAACTACCATTTCTTTCCTTTGTACAAGCCAGTAATACAAATGCTAGAGCAAATGGTATAAATCCCAGTGGAACACACTATATCTATTTCATTTGGGTTATTGGTTGCCAATGGGAATAAACAGATTTTTGTCTTTGAAGAGTTCACTAGCTTCTAAGGGGAAAAAAAAAAAAAAGGCAATACAAAACTCCCTTTCTAACCTTGTAAATCTACTGGGAACCAAACTCAAAACTTCATTTAGTTTTTTTGGGAGCGTCTGCTGACCCTGGCTTTGACAAACCTCGTAAGCTGTACTTTAGCCCACACAGCTTTAGATGCTAACAGTCAACTTTGAAGATATCCATTACTGCTAGTGTCCAAGCTGAAAAAGGGTGTTGGTTTAGAAAACAACTGCCTGAGCCACCACAATGTACTCTTCTATTAGATCATTCCTATTGCCAGATTCTCCCTTTTGGAATCTTTTTGGATTACTTACCTTTTCCTCATGGTTGGCCAAGGGAATATTATCTTTCCTGGACAGTGTAAAGAACCCATCAATATTCCCTGAAAATCCTATACCTTTATAGAAGTGCAGTGTATGCAAGATGTGAATCCCCAGCTACCAGTCTCAGTCTCTGTCTCTGTTTCTATTAAAAAAATAAAGGAAACTAGTAAGATATACGGGCCCAAATGCTATGATACTTACTTGATTTAAATTGCTATCAACATTAAGAGGATGACTGTTCAAGAAAATACCAATGTCTACTGGTTTAGTTTTCCCAAAAGGCATTGTCATCCTTCTGGTGGTCTTGTCTCCTGGCTGAATCTCTAGAGGAAATTCTAAAGAACCACTGTCAGTCATAGGTACTCTACAAAAAAAAAAGAAATAAAAATGAAAAAAAAAAAATTAAAAAAAAAATAAAAGAGTAATAAAAGAGTCTGTGGCTAAAGAGTGGATTGAAAAGGGTATTAGAATTATTTTTATTTGGGATCAATTTTACTTGTTCTGTACCATCTGAAATTAATTGGTTTATAATGAACAATACTATATAGAAAGAATCAAGCTGTTAAACTTCAATTAAATTATTCTCATCCAAAATATACGCATGAGAGCTTGAAAAATGCTTGGAAATGTTAGCAAATTAGTTACAATTTTCAGACCTCTAGGGATGAATTCCTGAATAAATTTGTAAAATTGAATAAATAAATGTATTTGTTCTGCTAAATTTATATATAATATTTCAAATAGCTTTTAAAATATATCAGATGTGATTGAAAATGTATTTCAATGTAATTTCAACTATTAAAATGTAGGCTAAGCAGTAATTATAAAGCTGTAGCTGTTCACAGCTCATACAAAGCATTTATTTGATGTAAGAGAACAGTACCAATATATTAATAATAAGTAGTGTAAGCTCTTCAATTTTTTGCAGGATATTTTTGTATATTGTTAGAATCAGTGGATATAACATCAGGTTTTCTTGAGATATGAAATGTCCATAGGTAACATGACTATTACTGCCCCAAAAACAAAGCCACAGAAAACTTGGCTTTCAGATTTCTATCACTGTGATCTTTTATATCACGATGTCTTTTGTTTTGTGGCTGTCTTACACTTGAGTGCCTGCTTAAAAATAACTGTTATTAAAATTCAGTTACTGAAGATAGTAGGGTCTTTCTTTCACTTCTACTGATGCTATTAATGAGTTTGTGTGAATTTCATGTCCAGCCATTCTCCTAGCACAAGCATTGGATGTTTCTTCCAAAAAGTCTCAGTCTCACTGTAAAAATCGCTTGTAACTGGAATTATGTTATCAGCTTTTTTTTTTTTTTAATGTAATGCCATTGAATGTTATTCAAGGGATGTCAGTAGTGAGCAGAAAAGGAACACTAAAGGAACACTTTCATCAACTGTGGAGAAAAAACATGGAGAAATTACCTACCATGTTAAACATGGTACATTTTTTTTCTAGTGCTAATATTTTTCCTGGAGGTACAGCAATCTTGAACAGGGCTCTCTTACTAGCATATCCCTAAAAACTGTATATTTAGAGATACCTGCAGGCGCTTGCATCTTTCCTGGTCCTGTTTCATGGTTTAACCTGCTGGTCAGTTGGAGTTAGTTTTCCCAGCTGAGTACCCCTGCAAACTCTTGTGCACCCCAGCCTACTTTCTGGCAGGGCAGTATGAGGAGAAAAAAAGGCCTTTATACTGAATAAGCACTGTTCATCAATAACTAAAGCATTTGACTGTTACCAACACTGTTTTCATCACAAATCCAAAACAGCACCAAAAAAACTGTATGAAGAAAATTAACATTGTTGTGGTTTATCCCCATCCAGCAAGCAAGCCCCTCACAGCCACTTACTCACTCCCCCGTAAGCTGGACCAGGGGGAGAATTGGAAGGGTAAAAGGAAGATTTTGAGATAAAGGAAGTTTGATGGGGAAAGCAAAAGCCATGCACACAAGCAAAGCAAAACAAGGAATTAATCACCACTTCCCATGGGCAGACAGGTGTTCAGCCTTCCCCAGGAGAGCAGGGCTACATCACATGCAAGTCATTTGGGAAGACAAACACCATCACTCCAAACGTCCCCCTTCTTTCCCCTTCTTCCCCCCATTTTATAAACAGAGCATGATGCCATGTGGTCTGGAATATCCCTTTGATATATTCAGCTGGGGTGACCTGTCCTAGTTCCTCATAACCTCCTGTGCATCCCCAATGTCCTTGCCAGAATGGCAGTACTAAAAAGATGGAAAAGCAGGAAAGGCCTTGGCTCTGTGTGAGCCTTGCTCAGCAATAACAAAAACATCTCTCCATCATCAGCCCTGTGTTCAGTACAAAACCAACACAATCTCCATACCAGATACCATGAAGAAAATTAACTCTACCCCAGCCTACACTAGCACAGACATATTTTTTGCATAGACATGGCAGCAGTAGTGTACCTTGGTTGTACTCTAACAAAAACAAAATTAAAATTTGCCCTTGTTAATGTCCAGCTGGGTCACCTTTTCCTGCTTATCAGGCTGCATCAGGATTCAATAAACATAGATTGCATTAATCTATTAATCTATTAATCTGATACCTTTTAAGCAGTTGCTGCTGCTGTGGCTTCTTTTTCTGCTGGGCTTTTCTAGCATTTCTGATGCCAAGCCCGAACTGCTAGGCCCAACAATGTCTATTAAATCTGGTTCCTCTCTGCACGTACTGTATCTTATTGAATAATAGGGGTTGGATAAGCTGGAAGTTAATGTAACATATTTTCAGGTACAGTTACAACCATTAATATTCACTTTAATTTTAGACACAGACACCACTTGTTAACTAGTGGTACATTATAGGTGCACTAACCTCACTAGTGAATTATAGACTTTACCTAAATTATAAACCATGAGATATCCTCAGCCTTTCTGAGGATGTTTACAGCATAATGCTGTTGATCTTTAGTGCAATTTACCTCCATGTATGACATATTCCATGGGTGAAAGCCCAGTGAAATTAAGTGACAGATGGACTTCCTCACTCCAGAAGGTTACTAGACATATTTATTTTAGAACTTTTCCATTTCCTACTTAACTAAATATCCAAATTTTATTTTAAATTAAATACCTAAATAATTTATTCAGCTGAGTAAAATACTTGAACAGATAAAATGTGAATAAACTTACCGCTCTGGGAAATTGTTGCGTCTATATGAACACCTAATCCTCTGTACAGCTTAAAAAATTCATACTTTCTGTAACTAGCAATGAAGGTAATAATCAAGGTTATTATGGACTGTGCTTTTTATCATGCCTTTCTCTGGATCTTGCTTTTCATACAGCACTGGTGATAACAACAGTGTAGTATACAGAATCCCTATTATCTATAAACTCCAACTAGAAATCACTAAAATACATAATGATTGAGGATTTCATTATTCTCTTGACCACTTCCTGATCCAGACTGCCTATAAATAGCTCAGGAAAAGAAAAATTTTCCTGCCTATACGAGACTGGTAAACCACTGTTATCACAGTGGTAGGTGCTACTAATACTAACACTACCTAGCAGTCCTTTCCAAGACTTAGCATAGCGATGTCCTGAAGTATCACAGGAGACAACTAGAGTGTCAGTGACAAAGATGCTAGCAAAAATTGTCCAATGCCATGACTGCTCAAGAAAAATTGTATTAGTGTTCTTTTCCATGACATCTGTAACATGTCAGTCAGTGACTAGTTCCAAGTAATTGTCTGGTCTTGGGGCTGGTTGAGTGTTTCATGATGAGGGGTTTTTGTTATACTTGGATAAACACACTAAAACTCAGAATTGACTTTTGGCTTGCAAACTAAAATCTGGCTTCAGAAAGGAGAAATGTTTTTTTGGCTTGAGTTTTGGTCAACAGTATCCCTTGGTGAGACTCTAGAAGTGCTAGGGGGGTTCCAAACTGATAAATAAGCCAAACACACAAGTTGTTTTTGATCAATGAGATTACAAGGAGAAAGCAAGATATCACTTCATTTGTTCTCAATTCTTTGTGCACTGACAATTTTTTTGTTTACCAACTTGCTATCAAACATTCATTTTATGAAAACACATAATCAGAACAACAAAAAAAATATACAAACTTTTTTTCTCATGTTTTATGGGAAAATACTGTTTCTATGCCAATGATTGCTTGCTACCTCACAAAAAACGGGAATGCAGACTGTAGTCATTGATTCTAATCAAACAAAAAGGATTTTAATCATTGTCTAACATGCAAAGATAAATTTATCTTGGATTAATTTATTTAAATTATTTATAGATTAAGAACAATCTCCTGGGTCTTATACTTCTGTTTTCAAGACAGTTTGTGATGGCAATAAAGTATCTGTATCTACTACTCAGCTTTGTATTGTAATTTAGTAGGTATGATGAAAATAGTCACCTTGTAAAATGGTCAGCTTGACAAAAATGGTCAACATGGGAAGGGCATGTTTGCAAACAAGTTTGTGGGGAATAAAAATAAGCAGAATTAGCCTTGCAAAACTCATCAAAAGAGCTAATGGCTTTGTCCTACCTTCTACTCTATTAGGGAGTTGTAACTGGGGATTCTGACCCAGAGCTTTCAACTGAGAGGATTACATGGACTTTTAGGAGAAGTCTCTCAGAAAGGAAGACCTGTAATGCTTAGTTTCCAATTAATTTCCCTATGTACTGCAAAGATTCTGTTTTCATTTAAATTTTGTTATTTTGGTTTTGAACATTTATCTCCTTAATTTCATTGGGTCCCATGTGACTCAAAGAGAGCTACCCTCTGAAGACAGCTACCACGGTAGGTAAGAATATCTTCAGCATTGCACTTAGAACTGACTATTTATTCATGAGAAATGGGAACCAAAGTCCTTTTTAATGAAAGGTTCCCTACAGATGGGGCTATAGTAGTCTTTTGTGAGGATGCTTATCAGTATATCCTTAAGAAATGTATCTTTTTCACAATAAGGTCTCCAATTCAATTGTGCTAAACTGTAATCATTACTAGGATAATCCTGGCAGAACTAATGAAGACTGACATACTTCCTTCCCTCTGATCCCTGACATGCCTTGTATTCAGATTACAAATGAGCACTATCCTGTTTTTGCTGTGCTATAATGAAACCAAAGGGCCTAGTCTTCTGACAAAATTTTCAGGTATAATACTGAAGGACTTTCCAGTCCTTTCCCTAGGGAATATACAGGACTACCTGCATGCAAACCTAATGCTGCATGAGCAGGTTTCTCACTAAGTATATTTTGCCACTGTACATACCTGGTTTTGGAGCAAATTCTGTCGTTCCAGTGTGGTTTACTCAACTTGCAGTTATTTGACACTTGTAGTATTACATCTTCTTGCCCCAGCCATTACTACAATTTCTCTTTTTTTATTTAATGACTATTTCTTTGTTTTATTTCCTGTTCCCATATTCTCTTCCCATAATGTCCAGGTAGGCAAATTTCCCTACAAACTCAAAGGTAAAGATCCTATTTCTTCCTCTGGATTGAATAGTTAGATCCAGTTTTCCTTCATATGTCTGTCTGGTCCAGATGCCTTTCGCAATCACTTACTAAGACCTACCAGAAGTATTGTATTTGGGGATGTGCCTGGGGGAAAATGTTCATGTTCTCAGTGGATTTTAAGCTATTCCTGGTGTCCTTGTTTTTGCTGAACATGATCTAACACAAGCTTCAAATATATATCTAGAACAAAACTGGACATTGAGTTCACTCTAACTTTCATGGCACAAATTCAAAAAGTTGTTTTTATTGAAGGGAAAAAATGGTAAGTCAGGCAAATATCTTTCTGAGCAATTAAACCATGCCTCTAGATTGTTCCTGGGACCTCAGAGCTGGAAACCTCCATTTGTACTGAGAAAAAAACTGAATTTTTTGCATGTCTCTTCTCAGACTATGAACAAACATATTATGCATTCTACATATTTGGTGTTGCTGATTAAATGAAAACTGAAAACTTTCTAAACACTACTTCTTGTCACCTGAAGTTGAAAAACATGAGCTTTCATTATCACCAAACAGAAAGCAAAACCACTGCATGAAGAAAAACAACTTTGGTATAGAAAATCAAGATTATAAATCTCCAAGATAAAGTAACTTCAAATCCGACCTTCTCCTACATTAATCAGTTTTATAAAGAAATCAGAAAATGCCAGAATTCAGGTATACATTGGTATATGAAAATGGTTGATCTATGTGCAAGTCATTCTTGTCATTTGCTGTTTGTAAAACCAAGCTTTTAATTTCAGAAAATTGTAGAGAAATATGATGCAATATTAGCTTCCAGGTGATAGCAGAGAATGAAAAGAATGATACCTGCATATGATGGGATACAGAAGGTTTTCCAGGACAGAAATATAATTACTTGGTCACTGAGATAACATATATAGTCTGTTTCATAAAATCATAGTGTCACAGAATCATAGGCATAGAACCACAGAATGGTATGGATTGGAAGGGCCATTCCAATTACCCATTCTCAACCCTCTGCCATGGAAAGGGACTAGACCAGGTTTGACTACAGTTGACCCACTGTATATAAAAAAAGCAAATAAACAAACAAATAAATAACTCAGAAGATACTAGTAGTCTTCCTAGATGTCCAAGTACATTAAAGTTTGGAAACACAATGTAGGCATAAAACCAATCTTGTCAGAGTCTCAGTCCCAGACCTCTTTGTTTTTTTGTTTGTTTAATCAAACTTTTTTTCCCCTCTTCCACTCAGTACCACTTTCCTAATTTTTGTCCCATTAATTGTCTGGGCTTTTGGATAATGAAAATCAGTGCTTGATCCCACAGCTCCACAGATACTGAAGCTAATGAAAAAGTCTACCATCTGCATGGCTAAATAAAGTAATCTTTACTGTTACAGGGCTAGTGACAGTTTTCAAGCTACCTACTATTTTATTTCTAGCTATTACTAAGAATCTAATTTTCTATTTTAGTTCTATGGCTTCCAGACTCTTAAATTAGTTTTGATTTTGGGTTTGCCTTTGTGTTATTGCTATGGTTTAATCTTTAAAAATTCCATTAGACTTGACAGCTTCCACAAGCTCCATAAGTTGCATTGTCCCCAAAAGAACAAACACTCTTGTTTTTTCTAATGCATTGATTTTCTGTAGTTTTCTAAGATACCCTTTGGCTACTTTGTCTTTATGCTGAACATTACGCATTCTCACCCCAAATTTTTTAGAAACTCCCATGTGGAGCTGAATGACTCTAATTAGTAGTTTTGATGTTGTATTGTGGGGCCTTTATCTCTCTTGTAAGTAGCCTATCGGTACCAGGCTAGATTTATTGTTTTCTTTTGTATTTTTCTTTTCTCCAGATTGTTGTACTTGTCCATATTTTGGAGAGTAAGAGAGAATTAATGTGAAATTACTCTGTCATCATTTAGTGCCATGTTCCCATTCAGTTAATTCAGATACATATCTACCATAAAAACAATGAATTGCTTCTGTCACCTGCTCCAGCGCTTTTACTTTCACATAGAGCTGTAAGTTTGCATCTGTTCCTAGGTTTTTCACACTAAAGCTACACAATTTATTTTTGCTATTCAATACACACCCATGATATATCCATGTGTTTTGGAGGCTGTAGTTTCCAAACGTAGCCTCCTCTACCCATAAACCAAAGAGTTTGAAGGACAGCAATATCGAATTCTTATCTTAATCCCTCTGGTGATAGACACTGCAATGGAGAGCAGGAAGGCTCTTCTGAGTAGTTTCTGTGGAGAAACACAAAGGAGAAATAAAACTGCTCAGTAACTTAACTAAGCCATGGCTGAGATCAGTCCCATTTCCTTTCACTGTGAGGGGAAGAGACAGAAAGTTAGAAGGACACAGAGGAAAACGTAAATGCGTAAGAAAACAAAAGGGTGGTGATGATGATAAGTTTTATAACCACCTCTAGAGATCCCGCGAACCTGACCCCTCCAGCAAACACTTCCCTCCAGACTGTGGCTCATGAAAATATGCCTGCATGCTGTTGGCACATTTATTTTCTATTCTCGACTGCATAATCCTGAGGCTAAGAGAACCAGAATAATAGATGCCAATGAAATTCCATTTGAGCTCCTCTCACATGAGTGTCATCAACTATTCCCAAAAAAGGTAATGCTAGTAGTAACCATGATATTTTTGCAGGTGAGATCATTATACTTGCTTGCAGTTAGACTAGATAAGGTAAGATCATTAGAGAAAAAGATTATTAGGTAAATAATTTTTTTGTGACTAAATTTTGTGGTCTCTGTGGAACTATTACACTCTCTTCATTTAAATATTTTAGTCTATTGTCTCATCTTTTTAGAAACTCATTCTGTTTATTTGTTCCCTATTAACAGAGAGATTTACTAAAAATATAGTATCTACCATTTCTGTGACCCATTGAAATTGAAGGCCATTTGAAAGAATCAGGATTTCAAGAGGGCAATAAAAGGCCCATGTAGATTGCCATCACTCACTTATGACTACAGAATCTGCTGAGGAGATTCACTATGTTTCCTAATGAATCTGAAAACTATGGGAAACCATACAGAAGCAGAGAAGACTCTGAAATAGAAATTGTGGAAGTTTATATACAATTAATTCCAGCTTCTATTAGGAAGCCCTAATTATGGTTCTTATTTTGACTGTAGCAACAAAATAGGGGAAATCAAAGAGTGCTTTGTGTGCTACATTCTTTCTCCTCCTCTTCTCACTGTCTTGTTTCCACCAGTCTTTTGAATATATTAAAATCTATCATATTTCTATGTATCTTTGCCTTTGTATAGTATTTATTCTAGAAGAAGAAATGGTATATTGTCCTGGAATACAATGTACCGATACTGACTTACATCACTTAGTCATTTTGGAACACATTTCCTATGAAATAATACAAGATAAGTACATTACATATTTTTTTTCTTATGCTTACAAAGGATTTAAAGTCATGAGAGTTTTCTTGTCTGGGATCAGGACCAAACTCTACGTCAACAAGTTTCCATAAGGGTTGCTGGATGCCTTCTTGTACATCCTAAATACTTGTGCTTTTTAAAATCCAAGGAAACAAAATATTTTAAAACAATTTTCCTTCAAATGTGCTGTTGAAGAAAAGCATGAGAAAACACTGAAAAGAAACTGAACTGTGGTGAAAGAGCCTCCTGTTGAACAAAATCGTTCATCAAGTCCAACAGTAGTAGAAAGCAAATGAAAACGTGACCTAAATCAGCAGCAGAAAAAAAAAGCATAGATGTTGAGGCTGTAAGAAATGCTTCTGTCAGATTTTTGGCATAGTTTTGCCCTTATATTATATGTCTAAAATACTGTAGGTATGTTCTCAAAATAATAATAATAATAATAATAAAACTTTAGTAGACATTAAAGCCGTTCTTCTTGAAGAAGCAATAGAAGTTTAATGGAAACCATCTGTTAAGATGCTTAGACTCAAGAGGCCATTGTTTCAGCTGGTTATTTTGATCTTTTTCTGTGATATTTTTAACAACAAAAATACTCTATTTAAATAATTTCTAAATTAGAATGTCTGTATTTTCCCATTTTTAAGGGGGGGGGAAATTTGATCATGCCATCCTTTCATTTACCTTTAACTGCTTATATGTTCTCTTGTTCATCAGAGTAAGCTCTTTCTGGAACCATTTGATATATTGTATTCAGTGAATCTTTACAGTAAAGTTTACCTGTAAGTACAGCATAGGAAGCTGAATCCTGTCACTAATATATTCAAAGTTTTTTTCCTCTGATTTTTAACACTTAGCTCTATCTTCTGCTCTGTAATATAGGAGGGAGATTCAGAGACAGTAGTGAGTAATGAGATAAATTAAAAGCAAAAGAACTGACTAAGCAACTTCTTTTTTCTCTCCATTTGTGAGAAAAAAGAAGTCTTTAGGCACTTTTTTAGTTTGTACTTTCATTTAGGGGTCACCTCGTGTATAGCACTGCAGTGTAGCATGCAGCCCTCTGAAACAAGCTCTGCTAGCAGCACATTTTAGTGGCTAGAACATTTAACATGGTAAAATGTCAGAACATTTTCTTGCCTCACACAGGTTTTGCAGTGAGGCTGCTTCACACAAGAGCATTTAGTGCTGCCTTGACTGTTAGCAAAGCCAGGGCCTGCTAATGCAAAGCAGACGCTGAGAAGTTGCAGCAGTGCAGCTGTATGGAGGCAGCGAATCGAACGATAAGAAGTAAAGTTTCCAAGGAATGAACAGAAGAAATGTACCAAGACAATTGGACTCCAATTTATGGGCCTAAACAAGAAAAGGAGTTGAATTATTGACTAGCTTAAACCACTCAAGTACAAATTACAACTTTATCAGAGCTCGTATGCTTTGTCTGGTCCTACCCCAAAAACAATGAATGTTTTGCCTAACACAGTATCAGCCTTTTCACTGCATTTGTTGTGCGAAAGCAATCTCTATTTACATTAGGCTTAAAAATAAAAAATAAAGTTGATATCTTTTTCTAAAACATTATCTGCATTCTTGAATCCATGAAGAACTACCATTTTAAGATACAACTGAGTATCTTAAAAGAGTAGACTGTAATTTGCTTGGAAAGATAATTTTCAAAGCAAAACCTAATGATTTTACAGATCATTAGCAACCTAGATATTGTGCTCAGGACAACATGCAGCATATGATGGTATTTCAAATTCAAGGTAACTTACCATAGTAACTTACATCATAGTGTAGTGATATGGGAATTACACATGCCAGCCATCGTAACAGGGTTAAACACCAGGTTTCCACTGAATCAATAAGCTGAAAGTTGTTAAGGAGTTGTTGAAGCACAAGCTGTGTGCTTCTGATGACAGACTTCAAACAAAGAAATTGCTGGGCAATTATGCTCTTAGTATCTAAGTTCCCCATCCCATCCCCAAGGGACAGCTTGAACCCATATTAATATTAGGATCCAGGATCTCCTTGGTTTTCTACTGGTGTGATTTACTGGTTTTTTTTTGTTGTTGTTGTTTTTTGGTTTTTTTTTTGTTGTTGTTGTTTTGTTTGTTTTTTGTTTTTATTACTAAGAGGTTGTTAAGTGGTCATCTTATATGATACCATATCCTGTGAAATCGGCTTCAGCTGATCCTATGGTTGGCTTTTTGGCATGTTGAAATCTGGCTGCTGTGGATCATATACCATGATCTTCAGGCTCTGTCTGCCCTAGCTATTACTACTGCTTAGGCTGCTAGCTCCAAGTTTTGACTAATTTTGTCTTCAACAGTAGGTAGGCTGCAGATTCTTTAAAAGTTCACTTGAGTAGATATATAGCTGCAGAGCTCCCTCTAGCAGAGTTCAGTTATTCTCAGGTTTTTTTATCCAGCTTGTCCTCTGAAGTGGCTCTATGACTGCTTTTCTCCCTGTTTTCTTAAAATACATTGCTTCACATAGATGGTTTTTCAAAGTTAAGGCGAGATACTCTGGAGGTCAGAGATAAGACATTTATACAATGCAAAAACATTATTTTCATTCCAGACGTAATGGTAAAGAAAAAACTCTTACCTTGAAAAGATACCTGAAAAGAACTTTGAAATATGCAGTCACTTGTACTCTCCTGTGAACATGTCAAATGTGCTTAAAAGAGACAACTGTGTAATCACTAGAAAAGACAAATAATTCTTTTTCACTGTATATAAAATTGGAAATGTTTCTTAAGAATTTTGTATTTGATAAATTGAGGTGTCTCAACTAAAGACAACTATGAAAGACAATTTCTATGAAACTTTGTACAAAATAGATTTAATTGCACTTTCACTTTTTACTAAATTGAACATACATTTATTTCACTGGGAAACGTGACTGCAACACTCCTTAACTTATGGCATTTACTTTCTTAAAGGCGCTTTTACTTATCTTCATTATACATATGCCCTTCATGATTTGTATTGATAAAAATATATTTTATATGATGTAGCATATTTTCTTACAATCACCATTTTTTTCTGCTTTACTTATTTTACTCATTTTTCTTAAATAAAATAAATACATTTCTAACAAAATCTTTTCATGAAGGCATAGGAAAAATCAAGCAAAAATTAACAGGATAATAAAAGATATCAAAATGACTTTCAACCAATGTCATCCTGGAGCTCTGAGAAACAGAAAATGAGCAATCTCTTTAATGTATGACTGTCTCCACTGATAAACACACAATTTATATCTGAATACTCAGCAAAACAAAAAGAGGTACTTGTTTTCAAGGTCAAGCCCAAAGACACCTAGAACTTTATTATCTCCTGCTGCTCTTCTATGATGGGCATATCTATTTGTCTAGAAACAATGACAGCAATTATTATCCTTAAATTAGACAAACTAGTGATGGATATTAGGAATATAAACAATGCAACCTACTTATTTATGTTAGGAATATTCAATTAATAATTTGAAAGTTGGAAGTGAAAATAATTTCTCTGAAGAGAAACTTTTCTTTAGAAAAGAACATGCAGAAGTTTGACATAATGTTCTAAATGCCATAAAATAGTATGCCTTTTGCAAAGCTCTGCAGTTCACTACAGCAGGAGCAAAACTTCAGCAGTCCTCAAGCTGAAAGCTGGTATGCTAGAGAGTCACCACAGAAACCTTGCAGTACTCATAACTATTAAAGGGAAAAGGATGTGTCTCGCTTTTTTTTTCTCCTTCCTTTTTTTGTTTTCTTTATATTTTTAGTTGTCTCCTTATTCATTTATCACTTTTGCTTGTATTTGCGAATCATGCTTCTTCTCAGAATAGCC